CATACAAACCCACACAGAGACACACACCATCACAGAGACATAACAAAACAGGGTATGTAACTTTTGGTAAATTATGTAAAATAGATACATTAGCACAGATAAAAGATCAGAGGGACAATACACAAGACACCACAGTTTTCCATACAGCAAAGTATCAATGGTTGTGACTTTAAACCATGTGTTCACATTTTTGATTGTCCACAAGCCACTTCTTGACAGAGTTTTTAAAAGTGTGGATTGAGGTCAGGTTCCTCAGTTCTGTTGGGATTGAGTTCCAGGAATGTGCTGCGCGAACTGAGAAGGCAGATTGTCCAAATAAAGTCTTTCTGAATGGGATTTTACAATCTCCTCTGCTTGATGATCGCGTGTTTGAGTTTACATTCAGCTGTAGGAACTCCTGCAATGGGGAATTTTGTTCCTCAATTTCTTAACATGTTTTTTAAATGATAATTGAGAATCCATGGTGATGCCTAAATACTTGTACTTCCAAATGAATAAATGACCCCTCAAATAAAACAGAGGTGGGCGGTAATAAATGACCAGAGTTCCACAGATAAAACTAATCCAGTGAGATTAGGGCAAACTGTGTTCAATCACAATGTGACGGTGAGAGAAGAAAGCCTTATTCGTCCCACATTAAGGGGTTTTTGGCCCTGAAACCAGTGTGGGTGGGTCCATGAGCCTAATGACATTAACATTACCATAGTGGGTCCATGAGCGTGTGCACTGACATGCTTTTAATCACACTCCTTGCCGGTGGGGGTGTACCCGGAAACAGAATTATCCAAAGCATCTATATCGCGCCTTTTTCTCTCTCAAAAACGCTGGTCCAAAAGTTGCCTCTTGGCTCAAAGCTACGTTCCAGATTCTGTCAATACTGAGGAGAGTATTCCTTTTGGACCAGCCTAGTTTAGCTGCTGTGAATGCACTTTAAATGAATGACATATGCCGTACTTGTACTGGCTAACGTATGCGCACTCTGTTCAACGGACCAGCCTACTCTTACCAAACCACCGTACTAATTTGATTTCGTACTAAGGTTAGGATCTTCTCAATTGAGCTCTGTTAACAGGTGGGAGAGGTTAACTCCTTTCACCGATTAATACGATTAGATCTGAGTTTGCCGTGACGTATGTAACGTGCCGACGTGAGTCGCTAGCATTTAGCATTTAGCCTAGCATCTCCTTTGCCACAACATCTGTGCAGCAAAGACATCTGCTAAACATTTATCCTGCTCAAGCTTACATTTTCTTGATATTTGGAGCCAAACCAGAATGGATTACTTAACCTTTACATTCTTCGCCAAACTACAACCAGCAAATCCTGCACAAACTCTTGACTTCACCGACCTACAAACGGTAGGATGTGATTCAACCGAGGAAACTGCAGCCACTGTGATCAGACCCAGACGCACATGTAGGAAATAATAATTGTCTGGAGTTTATGGATGACTAAGAACAGGTTAGCAACGCACACATAGGACAGTAAATAAGAGAGAGACATTAAAGATATTGCCATTTTATTTCAGTTATGCACAGAAAATCCTGAATGACTGCTTCATGTCCAACCTCAAAACACTACACTCAAACTCTTACATTCAAAGCGTCTTGAAGAAAACACTTTGTGAAACCCGAGAACCGTCATCTTGGGAAAAAGCGTTTGTGACACTGAGGAGGTGCAGGCGTTTGGAAAAGACCAGAAGGAGAGAGAAGGTGAAATGTGGGTGAGGAGCGCTGCCAAACAATGAAGAGCACGGATGGGACACTTGAGAATGAATACGCACTTAGCATCCTGAGACGCGCTAAGCCAATTAGCCTCGCCAACTCCCCCGATTAGCTACGGCCGCACTTAGGTCGAGGAAAAACTGGCACTTGCGGCGGAACCCAATGGAAAAGAGCTTGATTAAATTTAGACAAGGAATACCTCTCAAACAATTACTCCTGTCTTTAGCATCGGTTGAGAATAAGGCCGGCCATTCACCGTTGGAGAGGTCTTCGCTCACAGAATAAAACGTTTTTCTTCCTCGGACCGGCTTGTCGTGGACTTGAATCTTAAACAAATCATTTATATCGTTTTACATGAGCAGCTTTGTCTGTCTTTGTAATATCCCAAAATTCCATCTACTATGTCAGCAAAGTGTGACCGAATGTAAAATAAACTACATCTTAAGGGTTTTCTGGCGTATAGAAAACCATTGAAACCAAAATTCAAAATAATTTCCATAAACATTGGTAGAATCAGACAAAGATTGGAAAATGGCCTCGAACAAGACTCAGTGTGGCTCTTCCATAAGAACATATGGTGCAATATAAGTAAAACGTATTGTTATTGTAATCCAGCCAGGACATTTCTTGACATGTGTAATTTCAACAGTGGCTTGTAGAGGGTCCTTTATCAGTCCCACTGTGGGAACATTTCAGTTTGAGCAATACACTTACACATCGACTTCCTCGCTCCTTATGGACAAAGTGGGTTAAGTGTCTTGTCCAAGGGCACAACGACAGCAGACAGCAGTGGAGTTGGTGGAGAAGGTCTCACGGTGGGCTCGAACCCACAACCTTCAGGCTCAATTCGCTACCAACTGAGCTACATAAATAACAATGAGAAAAGTTGAACTGTTCACGTATGACTTTAACACTGAGTGCATATGGTTTGTCTCACCACAAAAAACATTTTAATATCTCCTCATGTTGTTTTTATACCCATGTCGTATTGTTTGTTCATTTGTAAAGATTTGTCAAACTTTTTGGAGGGAATTTCTCTGATTTCCATTGGTTTGAATGGGAGCAGTCAAAATGACGTCTCTGGGAGATCTAGTGTTAAATTTACAGTTCGATCTATATTTTATCGTAACTGCCTGATGCTTTCATGGTTGTTAAAGTCTGTCGTGTGTGCATGACCTTTTGGAAACATCTGAGGAAAACATTACTTATTTTTGAACTAAATATGGAGGACTTATCAGGTTTGGGTCATTATGGATGAAATGACTTCTGAAATAAACATGATTATTGTCCAGAGTCCGTTGGTCCAACTCTGAGTAAACTTTCTCCAATTGCTTCATCGAGGCCAAAGTTGTTTGTCGCCACAGACTTCACTCAGAGCTTTTCCAGTTTTCCTTAAAGATTCAAAGATTTCTTGTGAAATGACTAAATGTTTGAGCAACTTCAAACTATTTTGATACTTGAGGGTGTTCACTGAGTGTCCTGGATCCTCAGCTCGGTCCTCAGAGCCTCCTGCATCAGAGCGGAGACGGTACACCTCATCCAAAAACAAATACAGTCACAAATAAAACTCTAGTATAACACAGCTCTCCACAATAAACAGTTTAAAACAAAACCTAACTTCTCATCCTCAGACTCACTGCGGCTCCTGATGTTGCCTTTGTGTGTTGTCCCCTGGTCTCCCTCTGCCCTCCCCCTCCTGAGACGCCTCTCCCGCTCTCTCACGCTAATTAATTCTGCGGCAAATTAATTACCGAGGGGGGGAACCGTCCCGAAAGAGGATCAAGAGGAGGCGGGGGCACGAATCTGCATAATCACACTCAGAAATGAAGAATCTCGGAACAAAAGCAACTTGGAAATGAAAAGAACGGAGCACAAAAAATTGTGATAAATGCATCTGTTTACTTCCCCTCGCCTCTGGGGGCTCGGTTACACTTTGATGAAGTTGAGGGAGTTCAGGGAGAAGCTGTGTGTGTGTCTGTGTGTGTGTGTGTGTGTGTGTGTGTGTGTGTGTGGAGGGTTTGTCCCGGTGAATGCTGAGTCCGTTTTTAGTCAGCCTAAAATGTTTTTGTTTCACTCAAAAAAATAAAATTCATTCAATGTATTTGTGTGTAGCCTGTAGATATCTCCGGGGACTTTGCAAAGCTGTCGATTCACCAACACAGATCAGAGAATCAAACCGTTCAAACACAATGTATGCAATTTTAAAGAATGATTAGAACCAATGGGGCTTTCTCAGCAAGTTTGCATGTTCTCTCTGTGTCTGCGTAGGTTTCCTCCAGGTGCTACACTTTCCCCTATCACTAATAACATGCACACAAGGTCAATCCTCCAGCTCCAGTAGTCCTAACCAAGCATCACCGAGTATCAGCATCAGAAGATGGGTCCCTGTGCTACAGCGACTCCTGCTCCTGACAGAGGCCCCAGTGGTGTTCCAGGGTGGGTCAAATGCAGAAGACAAAGACTCGCCCCGCCGTACTTGTCAGAACTCTTGTCTGTTCGTAACTCATTGAGGTTCTCATCTCAACTCCTCCTGGAAGAACCTAGGACTAGGTCCAAACACTGGGGAGACCGGTCCTTCTCAGTCCTGGACCCAGACTCTAGAACAAGCTTGCCCTCTGATAAGTGCGTCCGACTGATTTTGTCCTTTTTAAATCCAGGCTCAAAAAGTGTTTATTCAGACTGACTTTTAACACTATCACTCAGCTGCAGGTGGCACTTTTTAAATGTTGTATAAATGTTTGAACTGGATTTATTGTGGAGCACTTTGGTCGCCTTGAGTGTTGAAAAGGGCTCTATAAATAAAATTGATTGATTGATTGTCAAAGCTCCTGAAGCTTTAGGGATGGATAAAGTGAACATTTACATTTTGCAGTTGCTACACTTTTGATTAGAAAATCTACAACATAAAAAAAATCTCAATGATCTTTCTTGTTTGTTCACTTATGGTTTCAAACTATTTAAGACTCAATCCTCGTGCGTCATCAGGGCTGGATTAGAAAACTAAACAATCATTTAGTTTGGGGGTAAGATGATAGGACAGTGTCATCATCAATTTGTTCTTGTAAAGCCATAAATCACAACAGCAGTGATCTCAGAGGACTTCACAAAACCATCAAGTTCGTCATCAGAGAATCAAACACAAGAAATGCAAGGGTGAAGAACTTAGAGCCATTTGTCCATAAGGGGCAGAGACCAACGTCCCGAAATGGTGATAAACGGTGATAAATGTCCATAAATGTCGAAGTAGTAACAGTGTGTGTTGCTGTCCCGCCAGGATCACGTCGTACCCAACACCCCCTCGGCCACACCGGGCGAGGAGAAGAAGACGGCCATCATGGTGCGCTGGGAAAAGGAGGAATGCCACCGCTTTTTCAAAATGGCCACAAAAGGCTGGAAAATGTGAACAAACGTATTTGCGCATACGTTAGCCGGCACAAACCCCATTCACTTGACGAGGGCATTCAAAAGTCCGCAGCGGCCAAACTAGACTGGCCAAAACAATATATACTCCCCTCAAGATTGACAGCGTCTGTAGCGTAGCGTTGGACCAAGAGCCACTTTTGGACCAAGAGCCACTTTTGGACCATCCTGTAAAGCCGTTTTTGAGAGGAAAGAAGATGCTATTCAACAGCATTGGGTAATTCTATTTCCGGGTACACCCCCACCGGCCCGGAGAGAGATTGCAGCATGTCAGCGCACGTGCTCATAGTTTATTTGTGCCGGGATCCACCCACTCTGGTACGGAGCTGAGCCATGAGCTGTTGTGAGTTTTATCAGCTGCAGTCCTACTTATATTTAATTTATATTTACCATATTTTACACTGAGCAGTCCGTGTGGCTGTGGTACAAGAGGCTTCACTAACTCAGAGGCTGCCTCACAGACGTCACTGCCTTTGTGTGAGGTTGTGTATGTATGCCTGTGTGTGAGTGAAAAGTTGAAAATTGGCAAAATGTATCTCAATTTGAGCACATTGTGACAATGGTAAAAACAAAATTATCTTGTTTCAAAAAGATACAAGAAATGTCTGTTGGGATGAGAAAATAAAGCAACAGTTCTTGAAATGAGACTTAATGGCTTTGTCCCGTTGGAGAATCTGGTTTTAACACAGTAAGAATGTTCTCAGATTAAGATTAAAATCAAATCGATTCAAGCAATTATTACGTCATATTGTGTCATTTCAGTGGAGAGTGTTTGTGTGTGTGTGCGGTGCAATACTAGCCCTAATGACGGCCATGTTTCTTGTTAACCAGTCCGCAGCAGACTCCGGGGGTGGTGACTCAGTGCTGCTTATGCACTTGTCCCTAACTCTAACCAGCGTTACCCCCGGCAACCCCTGCTCCCACAGACTCCCCTGACTCACGGAGGAGTCTCCCCGGTTCGCAGATGATGTGTCGAGAGGCTGTGGAGCAAACAAATCTGCATTATAGTACGTAAGTAAGTAATCTTTGTTTATCTAACATGTTTGACAGCCTGGATTCACAGCCCGGCATTTGTTTGTACTTGTATTCTGTGGCAGGGGAAACCGGAGCACCTGGAGGAAACCGGAGCAGACACGGGGAGAACATACAAACTCCACACAGAAAGGTCTGGAGCAAGAAGGTCCTGGGTTCGAATCCCGGTCGGAACAGGGCTTTTCTGAGTGGAGTTTGCATGTTCTCCCTGTGTCTGCGTAGGTTTCCTCTGGGTGCTCCGGTTTCCCCTACCACTAAAAACATGCAACATCAATAGGTCTGAATGTAAATGAGAGAGTGAATGGATGGTGTTGGAGCTGACGGTCCAGTGTGTTCTGGACTCGCTTCTGTCATCACCGTGTGTGGAAGGATTGGAACAATATCTGACTCTGAACATTGTTAAGTGCTTTGGGTCTGTACCTTGGTCTGTGAAATGCGCTATATAAATAAACATTACTTACTCACGTATTGTCTGTGAGATATGTTTTATAGGTATGATGTGTGTGTGTGTGTGTCTGCTTGTGCGAGTGTGTCTGTACGTGAATGTCTGTGTCTGTATGTCTGTGCGTGCATCTGCGTGAGTGAGTGTGTGTCTGTCTGTGTGTGTTATGCTATTGTTGTCATTTGATTTCATATTATTGTAATGTTTTTCCAGGGACTGCAGATGGAAATGAGAAGACTGAACTAAACGGAACTAAACTAAGTACAAATCCAACCCTCTCTGTGTGGCCTGGTCCCTCTCGCTGGTATTGCGTGAAGGTCCCCTGGTGTCAGTGGGAGGTTAGATTCCCGTCCGCTCCTTCCAAACACAGTCCACAACTGAGCCACAACTGAGGCTGTCGATAATCTGTGTACAAAAAATCAGTTTTCTCAGGGTTAAAGGCAAGAAACCAGAAGTAGAAAGTTTGCACAAAGGGATCAATGGTAATGCAGAGAGACGGAAGCTGGCCTTTTAAAACCGCCACTGTGAGAGACCAGAGAGAGACCAGAGAGAGACCAGAGAGAGACCAGAGAGAGAGACCAGAGAGAGACCAGAGAGAGACCAGAGAGAGACCAGAGAGAGAGACCAGAGAGAGAGACCAGAGAGAGACCAGAGAGAGACCAGAGAGAGACCAGAGAGAGAGACCAGAGAGAGAGACCAGAGAGAGAGACCAGAGAGAGACCAGAGAGAGACCAGAGAGAGACCAGAGAGAGAGACCAGAGAGAGACCAGAGAGAGACCAGAGAGAGACCAGAGAGAGACCAGAGAGAGACCAGAGAGAGACCACAGAGAGACCACAGAGAGACCAGAGAGAGAGACCAGAGAGAGAGAGAGACCAGAGAGAGACCAGAGAGAGACCAGAGAGAGAGACCAGAGAGAGACCAGAGAGAGACCAGAGAGAGACCAGAGAGAGACCAGAGAGAGAGACCAGAGAGAGACCAGAGAGAGACCAGAGAGAGAGACCAGAGAGAGACCAGAGAGAGACCAGAGAGAGAGACCAGAGAGAGACCAGAGAGAGAGACCAGAGAGAGACCAGAGAGAGACCAGAGAGAGACCACAGAGACCAGGGAGAGACCAGAGAGAGACCAGAGAGAGACCACAGAGAGACCACAGAGAGACCACAGAGAGAGACCAGAGAGAGACTAGAGAGGGACCAGATATAGAGACCACAGACAGACCACAGAGAGAGACCAGAGAGAGACCAGAGAGAGACCACAGAGAGACCAGGGAGAGACCAATCAGAGACAAGAGAGGGACCAGATATAGAGACCAGAGAAAGAGACCACAGAGAGAGACCAGAGAGAGACCAGAGAGAGACTAGAGAGGGACCAGATATAGAGACCAGAGAGAGACAAGAGAGAGAGAGAGACCACAGAGAGCCACAGAGAGAGACCAGAGAAAGACCAGAGATAGACCACAGAGAGAGACCAGAGAGAGATTCGGGGAAGAGTCCAGAGAGAGACCAGAGACTAGACTAAAAAGACCAGAGAGAGACCAGAAAGACACCAGAGAAAGAGACCAGAGCAGAGACCAGAGAGACCACAGAAGAACCAGGGAGAGACCAGAGACTAATCAGAGACAGAGACCAGAGAGAGAGACTAGAAATAATTATTTTTTGAACAAAAACTAAAAAAAACAACCCAGTAGGAATGAAGCACAAGATAAAACAATAGAGAAGTATAAAAAATATCTACCTTTGGCATGAGAAGAATCAAGTCTAAAGTCCTGTATATTCTATTTCAGAAACAAATATATCAGACCCATGTGGTTCTGTTTATTGCACATTCTGACATAGGTCCACATTGTTTGCCAATTTACCAAGTTTATTTGTATAGCACAGTAAAAAGGCCACTCAAATACATCATAAGACAAACTGTACCATTTCATTGCAAGAACTATTGTTGTTCTTTGACCAATATTATGAATAAAATAGTACTTTCTGTTCCTCTGAAAAACCAAACAGGAGCAACTATTCTCCGATAGTCTCTCACAACCAGAATCTTTGTTTGGACATGTTTCTCACAACCAGAAACATGTCCAGACTGCGGTTTCCTCTCCAGCCTATCACATGTCCTCTCTCTCTCTGGTCTCTCTCTCTGGTCTCTCTCTCTCAGTCTCTCTCTGGTCTCTCTCTCTCTCTGGTCTCTCTCTCTCTCTGGTCTCTCTCTCTCAGTCTCTCTCTGGTCTCTCTCTCTCTCTGGTCCCTTTTTCTGGTCACTCTGCTCTCTCTCTCTCTCTCAGATCTTTCTGGTCTCTCTCTAGTCTCTCTCTCGTCCCTCTGGTCTCTATCTCTCTGGTCTCTCTTTCTCTCTCTCTTTGGTCTCTCTCTCTCTCTCTCTCTGCTCTCTCTCTCTGGTCCCTCTGCTCTCTCTCTCTCTCTCTCTCTCTCTCACTGGTCTCTCTATTTGGTCTCTCCAGTCTCTCTCTTTGGTCTCTCTCTATCTCTCTCTCTCTCTCTCACTTGTCTCTATTCGGTCTCTCCGGTCTCTCTCTTTGATCTCTCTCCCTCTCTCTCTCTGGTCTCTCTCTGTCTCTCTCTCTCTCTGGTGTCTTTCTCTAGTCTCTCTCTCTCTCTTGTCTCTCTGTTCTCTCTGCTGGTCTTTCTCTCTCTCTGTCTCTCTCTCTCTCTGGTGTTTTTCTCTAGTCTCTCTCTCTCTCTCTCTCTCTCTCTCCCCTTGTTTCTAGGATGGATTATAATCTAAGTGCTCTCCTGAAGTGCCCGACAGAATCTCCATCTGGCCGGTCCTCACTAAAATCACACACCTCCAAACACAAGTGGCCAATTACTTTGACATAACAGCATCGCGGCGGCTGATCCGTGTTGCCGTGGCGATACTCGTCGACACAGAAAGAGGCTGGAAAGGGTGTTTTTGGGGGCGATGGGTTGTGTGTGGGGAGCGAGGCTGGGCCAGGGCATTACGGTAAATGACACCGTATGGGATTTGGCTGCGGACGCGTTACATAACTTCTGGTAATAGTTGTAGCTTCATGAGGGTATGTGTTCTGCCGCTGCGGAGCCAGGAGCCCAGAGTGCAATATACAGCCCTGTATTGCACATTTTTGACATTGTCACTTTACTGAGTCGCTTTGTAGCAGATTTTACACTAGAAAATAAAGTGTGTAAAGTTAGAGATGTTAAACTTGCTTCTTTGTTATGCTAATTTTAGAGATTTTATACTTGCTTTTTGTTAATGCTAAAGTCATAGATGTTTTAATCTTTTAGAATTGTGTATTTATTTGTTTGTGTGGATTGTGTTTCTGCTGCTGGACACAGGGCAGGTCAATAAAGTATCTATGGAAGGACCTATCTGTCTATTTTTAATCTTTTAATCTTTATTTCCTGCATGTCAAGTTACAAAAGAAAGATGCAGATATAAATACATGACAAATGCACCACAATATATGCATTATAATGTCCAACTGAACATAGAGAAGAAGTATACATCAATAAAACAAATATTAATAAATTGTATCATTTCAAAAATTCATCCATCTCTATCTATCTATGTATAATATCTATCTATCTATGTATAATATGTATCTATGTATTTATAATATCTATCTATGTATGTATAATCTGTATGTTTATATGTATGTATCTATGTGTGTATGTATTTGTATGTATCTATCGATCACATGTGTGTACTGAATAGTATCCAGTCCATACATGAATGCGTGTTTACTCTGAACTAAATGTTCTTTTGCTCCAACTGTGACAAAAACTCTCTCTGCGCTAATATTGGACTAATGTTAGAAGTGAATGTCTATGTCTAATGATGTCATAGGTCAGACTTAAGTCGGAGCCGTGCGAGTCTGTGTTTGTGGCTGTGCGGTGGGAGCTGATTGGCTGCTGGGCCGTGGCTTCACCCCACTTCACTTCTCTCCGTGTGAACAGAGCTGTGGCCTCAGATGCAGGGACCAGGACTGCACCAAACAGCTCAGAGTCTGGGACCAGGACTGCCCCAAACAGCTCAGAGTCTGGGACCAGGGCTGCCCCAAACAGCTCAGAGTCTGGGACCAGGACTGCTCCAAACAGCTCTGAGTCTGGGACCAGGACTGCCCCAAACAGCTCTGAGTCTGGGACCAGGACTGCACCAAACAGCTCAGAGTCTGGGACCAGGACTGCTCCAAACAGCTCTGAGCCTGGGACCAGGACTGCCCCAAACAGCTCTGAGTCTGGGACCAGGACTGCCCCAAACAGCTCTGAGTCTGGGACCAGGACTGCTCCAAACAGCTCAGAGTCTGGGGGTTTTAGACATTTCGGTATCTAAGTTTATTATTGATCAAGAGTCCGGCAGGTTATCTGTACCAGGCATCGGACAAGTCTACCAGTGACAGAGACCAGAGAGAGGTCAGAGAGAGACCAGAGAGAGACCAGAGAGAGACCAGAGAAAGGTCAGAGAGAGAGACTAGAGAGACCAGAGAGACCAGAGAGAGACCAGAGAGAGACCAGAGAGAGGTCAGAGAGAGAGACCAGAGAGAGACCAGAGAGACCAGAGAGAGACCAGAGAGAGACCAGAGAGAGAGACTAGAGAGACCAGAGAGAGATCAGAGAGAGACCAGAGAGAGACCAGAAAGGGACCAGAGAGAGACCAGAGAGAGACCAGAGAGAGAGACCAGAAAGAGACCAGAGAGAGACCAGAGAGAGACCAGAGTGAGATCAGAGAGAGGTCAGAGAGAGACCAGAGTGAGACCAGTGAGAGACCACAGAGAGACTAGAGAGAGACCAGAGAGAGATCAGAGAGAGACCAGAGAGAGAGACCAGGGAGAGACCAGAGAGAGACCACAGAGAGACCAGAGAAAGACCAGAGAGAGATCAGAGAGAGATCAGAGAGAGACCACAGAGAGAGACCAGGGAGAGACCAGAGTGAGACCAGAGAGAGACCAGAAAGAGACCAGAGAGAGACCAGAGAGAGAGACCAGAGAGAGATCAGAGAGAGACCAGAGAGAGACCAGAGAGACCAGAGAGAGACCAGAAAGAGACAAGAGCAATAAAAGGGAAAGAGCAGAGCAAGACTAGGGAGAGACCAGAGAGATTTGTTTTTCCTTCTCTTGATAGATTTTAATATCTGTGAATGTACATTGTATAAAACAGAATCGATAATACATTCATAGAACAAACGATTCACTTTCTGTTACCGCACATTTGCTAAAATGACTTTCAATAATAGTATCAGTATCACAGTATTGATTGGCGATACTTATTTCTATTACCATCTTAGTTCAACAATCTTTATGACTAAGTTTAGACAATCCGTCCCAAGACAAACAGCCTTTGAAGTGCTGTAATTATGAACTTTGTTGACTCTCTTTAGTGTTTGCCGTTTGCAGAAAAGCCACATTGGGATAACCGCGCTGCAGACCCCAGTGTGCTGCAGACGAGTACATACATAAAACAATTCTGCAGAAAAGTCCTAAATGAAGACTTTCCATTTCCGTGGCTCGTGTTGGCAGCTGCGTCCAAGTGGATCTCATTTTTCCTCTGGACCATATGTGTAAAATATCCCTTAAATATTGCATATCCATGTCCAAACTCATGTATCATTGTTTTGTTCGGATAAACCTCTGGGTCTTTCTGCTGCCCCTGGATGGAAGCCCACACATTATTAAACCAAAATCAGTCAGAAAGCACTAATGTTAATAAATCACCGTTCTGGCAGAAGGCGCAGGAGTCGGGTTTTGGCGCAGGCTCGAAGTTTGTCCATAGAATAATGACGGGATAAAGTTACAATCAGAAGTCGGTGGAAAGCCACGGGTTTGAGGCTGCTGCGAGCGGGTGATTTATGCGATTTTACGGTCAGCAAATAATACCAAATATACAAAGTTATGACAGCTCCTCCACACTCTAATGTTTGTGCTGCTGCTGGACAAAGATGACGAGGAAGTGAAACATGTGACTGTCACTAACTGTTAATGGGAAAACTTATTTATGCAAATTCACGGGAAAATCTTCTTTCCAAGTCACAGTCACAGCTGAAAATCAGCCAAATAAGAGTGTCCAATAAAAAAAAATTTGTATAGCGCTAAATCACTGCAGACCGTGGCGGACCTCATGACCGTGGCGGACCTCATGACCGTGGCCGACCTCATGACCGCGGCGGACCTGAAGACCGTGGCGGACCTCATGACCGTGGCGGACCTCATGACCGTGGCGGACCTCATGACCGCGGCGGACCTGAAGACCGTGGCGGACCTCATGACCGTGGCGGACCTCATGACCGTGGCGGACCTCAAGACCGTGGCGGACCTCATGACCGCGGCGGACCTGATGACCGTGGCAGACCTCATGACCGTGGCGGACCTCATGACCGTGGCGGACCTCATGACCGCGGCGGACCTCAAGACCGTGGCGGACCTCATGACCGCGGCGGACCTCATGACCGCGGCGGACCTCAAGACCATGGCGGACCTCATGACCGCGGCGGACCTGATGACCGTGGCGGACCTCATGACCGTGGCGGACCTCATGACCTCATGGCAAACAAAATCTAAATCATTTATAATAATGTCCCAATGTCTTCCACGCTGCTCTCTGCTTCAAGCTTAAGCTCATTTATAATCCCATTGGAACATGAGGAGACCAGAGAGAGACAAGAAAGACGCCAGTGAGAGAAACCAGAGCAAGACAAGAGAGTGTAACACCAGAGAGAGAGCAGAGTGAGAAAACAGAGAGACCAGAAAAAGAGCAGAGCGAGACCAGAGAGAGAGTGAGAGACCGGAGAGAGAACAGAGAGATACCAGAAAGAGTCCAGAGAGAGACCAGAAAGAGACCAGAGAGAGGCCAGAAAGAGACCAGAGAGAGACCAGAAAGAGAGCAGAGAAAGCCTAAGGGGAGACCAGAGAGAGTCTAGAGGGAGAGAGAGACCAGAGAGAGATCAGAGGACATGAGGAGGAGTCTTACTGCAGACCTGGTGTTTATCCCTCGGTCAGAGATGCTCCCAGCACAGCTCAAAGGCCATTGCTCTACCAACGGAGCCACTGTCGCCTCAATATCTACAATTTTAATACATTGGAAATAATAACAATAATAATAATAATAATAACTGAAGTTTTCTGAACACAACAAATTATTATAAAGTTCTCATTATTCGAGGCTAAATAACAAAATAAAAAAAACAAATAGTAAATAGAAATGCATTTGTGAAACTAGAGTATACACAGCTGCTTGATGGTATATGTTTATATATTTGTGTTTATATATTTGTGTTTATATATGTGCATGTGTCAGTATGTCCTGGAAGCAGAAGTCACGTAAACTCAGGAATGTGAATATTGTAAATACTTACTGTATGATTGAAACATTTCTTCTTGAATGAATAAAATCAATCAACCAATCTTCATTCGTAATGCACCTTCACAAAAAACACACACAAACACACACATTGTCCTTATATAGTGGAAAGCAAACAGATAAAAACATGAACAAACAAGAATGATAAATTATCTGGTTCTGAAAATCTGTATTTGATGTTAAATAAAAGTGATGCGTCAAGAATTCAAACCCAAACCACGACTTTGATCAGTCCTTCTCCAACGGTTCACATCCTACAGATCCTGGAGATGCTGCAGATTCTGTGGGATTTTCTGAGTTGGCCTCAAAACTCTGCTAATTACAGGAAAACTGTCGTGAGACTCCAGCTCAAGAAATGTCCCCAAAATGTTCTGAGTTTCCCAGGACGGACACACGTGCATGTGTGTGTGTGTGTGATAGTGCATGTGTGTGTGTGTGTGATAGTGCATGTGTGTGTGTGTGTTAGTGCATGTGTGTGTGTGTGTTAGTGCATGTGTATGTGTGTTAGTGCATGTGTGTGTGTGTTAGTGTATGTGTGTGTGTGATAGTGCATGTGTGTGTGTGTTAGTGCATGTGTGTGTGTGTTAGTGCATGTGTGTGTGTGATAGTGCATGTGTGTGTGTGTTAGTGCATGTGTGTGTGTGTGTTAGTGCATGTGTGTGTGTGTTAGTGCATGTGTGTGTGTGAGAGTGCATGCACTTGTTTTCAACTCCTGGTGGGTTCCATAACCTGAGATTCCACTCACGTCATGGGGACTGGTTTTACGTGGTGGGGCCCGAACACCGGACCCCACTGGTCCAAGCTTAATAATCAATGGGTAATGCTTTTCTAACGGTCCTTATGCAGTCTCTGTAAAAATATGGAAAGGACCCCTGGAGGTTTACTTTCCTGAAAAAAGTGTGTTATGTGTCGGAACCCTGGTGGTGGGTTGCGGGATATCAAGGAGGGGCACACTGGGGCAATTTCAGTCCAGCAGGCTGGAGCCAATCATGGAGCAGCACAACAGAGGAAATCAGGTGTCAGGCTAGAAAAAGGTGCAAGTGTGTGGTTCATTAGGCTGCAAGAAATCATGGAGGAGCACACTGAAGCGCACGCTTACAAACCACTGGTAAGTGCTGACTACAAGTCATGACTTCAAATTGTTATATAGAATGATTACAAATTATTTGTTGTTTGTGCAGCTTAGTCAAGAGTCCCTAATTGATGAAGTCGACTCAGATTCTGACGATTTAACTGTCAAGAAGAAACCTGTAAAAAAGTATGGAAAAAGAAAAATCAAAAACACTTTTCTTCAAGACTCGGAAAGTGACGAACCAAAGGCAAATAAGATTGTTATCATGCAGCTGCAAAAGAAGAAAAATGGGGGGCGAGTATACAGCAAGAGACACTTCTGCCTCTACTGTTCAATGTCCTGCCACAAAATGTCCCGTCATTTGACTAGAAAACATGGAAATGAAAGTGACGTAGCCAGAGCATTGGCTCTACCTGTGAAATCTAAAGCACGTAAACTTCAGTTTGATTTGATCAGGAATAGTGGAAACCGTGAGCACAATTTTGAGGTTTTAAAGGCCGGCATTGGAACTTTAGTCCCAGCTAAACAGCCAAATTCCCCAGTTAAATCCAGTGAGTTTTTGCACTGTATAGACTGTGGGGCATTGCTTAAGCGAAAGTCGCTGTGGAGGCATGTGGCCAGGTGCCGGCTTTCACAGAAAGATGCCCAGGCTAAACCAGGTAGAAGTAGGGTCCAGTCCCTCTGCTCCCTAGCCCAGCCTGTACCGGAGGGCATCAGCAAAAAGCTGTGGTCTTTAATTTCGGCAATGCATCAGGATGAGGTCACGGGTGTTGTCAAAGCAGAAAAGGGGATTCTGAGACTCGGAGAGCACCTGTACTTAAAACACGGGCATGATAAGACAAAGCATGATTACATTAGGCAGAAAATGAGAGAAGTCGGTAGGTTAATTAACGAAGCAAAAACCGCAGGGAAACTGAAAACAATTAAGGATTTCTTTATTCCTTCCAACTTTAACCATGTGATTGATGCAGTCAGGTCTGTGGCTGGATATGATGAGGAAACAAATCAATACAAGACTCCATCCTTGGCCCTCAAACTCGGCCATAGCCTCAGAAAGCTAGCAGATATTCTTGAATGTGACTCAAAAATGGAGCATTGTGTTGATGAACTATTTATTAAAAACCTCCAAGAAGCCGGCTGCTTTTTGAGAAGAGGTGGGACGTCTGTGTTTCTTCTGCTGCCCTACAGACCCTCCGGCAAGCCAAGTGGAACACTCCGGACCTGCTCCCTCTGACTGAGGACGTTAGAGCCATGCATGCACATATTGAGGTATGTCGACCTGAATATGTGCAAACCCTAATAAGTGAGCCAACGTCTAAGCATTGGTCTAAACTGGCAGTTTTGACTCTTTGTGAGGTCATCATTTTCAATCGAAGAAGGGAAGGTGAGGTTTCAAAGATGCCACTGACAGCCTTTACCTTAAGAAGTAAGACTGGGATCCATTCTGACATTGCTCTGGGACTGTCCCAACTTGAGAAAAAGCTGTGTCAGCATTTTCAACGCATTGAAATTAAAGGGAAAAGAAGTCGGAAAGTGCCGGTTCTTTTGACTCCTGAAATGATTGCTTCGATGGAGGTGCTGGTGGAGAACAGAAGGGCCTGTTCCATCTCTGACCATAACCCATACTTCTTTTCCCGCCCGGGCGCAGACACCCACATCAGGGGATCAGACTCCCTACGCCAGGTAGCCAAAGAATGTGGTGCGGTGCATCCAGAGATGCTATCCTCAACCAAACTTAGAAAGCACATAGCTACTATGTCTACAGTTCTCAATATGAAAGAGAATGAGATGGACATACTTGCCAACTTCCTCGGCCATGACATTCGCATCCACAGGCAATATTACAGACTACCAGAGGGGACACTGGAGCTGGCCAAAATCAGCAAAGTGTTGATGGCCATGGAGCAGGGAAGAGTGACGGAATTCGAAGGAAAGAGCCTCGACCAGATACAAATTGAGCCTGAAGGTAATTCTTGATATTATTAAAATATGTATGATTTTTTTCCCCTAAAGGCCACTTGTATTTTTATTTTCTGTGCGACAGGGAGAGCAGTAGAGATCCTCTCACAAACGGACGGGCTAAAAGAAACTTCAAGCGGAGAACCTTCAACCATTCATCCAGATGCACCCCATGGTAGTGGCAGTGCCCCTTCTGGTAAGTGTACCAGGTGGGGGATTACAGCCAGGCTGCTTGGTCCTCACCCTGGGAGTGTATATTGCTAATATATTTTTATTTCTCTCCCTAGAACGTGTAAGAAAGCCATGGTCTGCATCTGAGGTGAAGGCTGTGGAGAAGACCATGACACCTTTCATACAGACTGGAAAGGTCCCTGGGAAGTCTCACTGCCTGGCCTGCATTAATGCCTCACCAGATGACCTTAGACATCGGACATGGAGTGGCATTAAATTCTATGTCAAAAATAGAATCACTGCAATTCGAAAACAAAATCTAAAATAAAATTCCTTTAAAATAGTTGTTTGGTTTCTATTGACTGTTTTGTATTACTTAAAGTCTTGGTAAAAAAAGATTATGTCTATGGGTCCCATTCTGAACGGCCCTGTCAAAGGGACCCACCAGGTAACAAAAACGTGTATGTGTGTGTGTGTGTGTGTTAGTGCATGTGTGTGTGTGTGAGAGTGCATGTGTGTGTGTGTGATAGTGCATGTGTGTGTGTGTGTGTTAGTGCATGTGTGTGTGTGTTAGTGTATGTGTGTGTGTGATAGTGCATGTGTGTGTGTGTTAGTGCATGTGTGTGTGTGTTAGTGCATGTGTGTGTGTGATAGTGCATGTGTGTGTGTGTGTGTTAGTGCATGTGTGTGTGTGTGTTAGTGCATGTGTGTGTGTGTTAGTGCATGTGTTTGTGTGAGAGTGCGTGTGTGTGTGTGTTAGTGCATGTGTGTGTGTGTGAGAGTGCATGTGTGTGTGTGTGTTAGTGCATGTGTGTGTGTGTGTTAGTGCATGTGTGTGTGTGTGTTAGTGCATGTGTATGTGTGTTAGTGCATGTGTGTGTGTGTTAGTGCATGTGTGTGTGTGATAGTGCATGTGTGTGTGTGTGTGTGATAGTGCATGTGTGTGTGTGTGTGTTAGTGCATGTGTGTGTGATAGTGCATGTGTGTGTTAGTGCATGTGTGTGTGTGATAGTGCATGTGTGTGTGTGATAGTGCAAGTGTGTGTGTGTTAGTG